CTAATTACTTCCTGATTCTGTTGTGACTAGATCTCAGACCTGTTGAATTAGACAGGAACTAAAGGAGTCTGTGAAACAGGGAGATAGCTTTGAAATGCAGTTATAACATAACAGTTTTTTGAAAATTTAATACAATAGGACGAGGGTAAAGTGAACGAGGCTGCCAGATTTAGCCAATCTTCTTAAATAGAAATGCAACAAACAGATTTGGCATCGAAAGAGTTATATGAAATAGCCTACTTGAAAACTGAATCAGAAACAATACCTGAGTGTCATTATTTGAAAAACCAAGTATTAGGGAGGAAACGGAGACTACCTCAAATACCAGCCAATAAGGAATGAGCAGTGGTCCATCAGGTGTAGTTCACAATGATATTTTACAAATGTCTCACAAATTCCAATAGAAGTCACTTGGAACTGTTGGGGAAATATATGCTAAAATATTAAAACATTTTTATTGTCTAGGATTACATAAAGATATAACCAAATTTTGTCAACCATGCCAAGTAATGGGAAAACCTCAACCTTCACTTAAACCTGCAATTCAAATACTAACTTTTAAAGAACAGTTTGGCAGGGTCTTAATACATTTTGTACTGCCCTGCCTAAAACCAGGAATGGTAATCAGTATTTTATAACAATTATGGATGTTTCCTGAAGATATCCTGGAGGAGTGCCTTTATAGAAAATTACTACATGTGCTGGTGAAAAAGTTAGTTCAATGTTTTCCAACATATGGATCGTCCAAAGAAGTACAACCAGATCAAGGAATATGTCACAAATATTCAAAGAACTGATGACTAAGTTGGGAATAAAACAATTTACATCTTCTGCTTATCAACCACTATCTTGGGGTACGTTGGAACAATGGCATCAAACTTTAAAGTGCATGATTAGAGCTTTTTCCCAAGACTATCCTAACGAATGGGATAAAAAAATTGCAGTGTTACTATTGGTCTTTGTGGGCGTGCTGAATAAGTATAGAGGATTTAGTGTTTTTGAACTAATACATGGAAATGGAAGATGTCCACTTAAAGAGAAACCCATGTTTCAGAGAGAATCTGACCAGAATATGAGGGTCAGCTAAACAACATTTCAAGGGTGTTCATTACAACAAATGTTACACCAGATGAAAAGGCCAAAGTTCAGAATTTTGTTACAGGAGGCAAAGTGTTAATGTTATTATCTGTCTTGGAGAACCAATAAAGCAACTACCTTATTGGATCAAAAAGAAACTCTATGATGTCAATTATACGGTTAATATTTCAGACATGAGAACAATTCGGAAAGTGTGTTATGTTAACATCATGAAAATAAATAGTGACAGAAGGATAGTGAGGAGAAAAGTGTATTGTCTTTGGTGAAAGAAGTAGAGTGAAGTAGAAATATCAGAATAATTGGAGAATGAATCAGAAAATGAAAATTCAAAATTTGACCCTCTAATAATCAGATTAGAAAACATGGAGCTGCTTAAAGGGTTGGGTAGTTTTCTGGAGGATCAAATCTGATGCTATCAAGGTGAATCACAAAGGCTATTACAGCATCATAAATATGGTAGGAAAAATCTGTTTTGGCTGTTCCTCATGTTGATGTGGGAGATGCATTACCTATAAAACAGCACCCTTACAGACTCGACGCAGCGAGATTAGCTCAAGTGAGGGAAAAGATTAAGTATGTGATGGACAATGATATTATTGAATGAAGTCATAGTAGCTGAACCTCACCTATTGTGATGGTACCAAACTGAATGGATCACAAAAATTTTGTATTGACTATCACAAAGTCAATATTGTAACAAAAACAGACATATCTTCTTCCAAGACCCTAAAACTATTGAATGAATTGAACACTCTCAATGTGTCATAAAAATCAACTTGTTAGAAGGATATTGGCAAGTTTGGTGGACTAATTGAGCTAACGAAATATCAGCTTTTGTAACACCAAATGGACTTTATCAAAGTCATGCCACTTGGAATGGAAAATGTACCAGCACTGTTTAAATGATTAAACAATAATTAACCAATAAACTCATTAAAGGACTATGTAACTATTGTTTACATCCACAGTTTGGTTGTTTTTAGCCAAACTCTGGAAGAATATTTATATCACTTGACTGAATCGGTTAATTGGTTCCAAAAAGTTAATTTCATTATAAATCTGGCTAAGAGTGAATTTGCCAAAGCAGAAGTGACTTATTTTAGGTCACACTGTAATCCAAGGCCAAGTAGCCTCTGGAGAAGTGAAAGTATGAACTATTTTGGATTTCCTATGCTTAGGATGAAACGTGGCATGAGTGAATTTTATAGCAGCTTTATTCAGAACTTCGGCACCAGATTTACACTTTTAATAGACATTTGTTCAAAGCAAGGCAGGGAGTTTGAACAGACATGAGTGTCAAAGAGTTTTTGAAAACTTCAAAGATGTGGTAATGTACCAGTTTTAGCTGCATCAAATTATGAGGCCATTCAAACTGTTAATACCAGTAACATTGGTGTATGAGAGATAGTAGGAACTGCAGATGCTGGAGAATCCGAGACAACAAGGTGCAGGGCTGGATGAACACAGCAGGCCAAGCAGCATCATAGGAGCAGAAAGGCTGACGTTTCGGGCCTAGACCCTTCATCAGAAAAGGGCTTTTTTTTTCACTGCAGGAGGCCCAGGATGGACATATCGTCTGAGGAATGGGAGGGGGAGTTGAAATGGTTCGGGACTGGGAGGTGCAGTTGTTTATTGCGAACCGAGCATAGGTGTTCTGCAAAGCGGTCCCCGAGCCTCCGCTTGGTTTCCCCGATGTAGAGGAAGCCACAC